AAAAAAAAAAAAAAAAAAAAATGAAGGAATCCTCAGGTCTCAGCCAGCTGGTATGTCGAACCCATATTATGATTTATGGTTACAGCCATCTCTCAAATCCACTTATTTAAAAACCAGGTAACAACTGTGGACAACCTTATGCCTGAACATCAGCCAATTCTGGAGGAAGTGGAGTCTTAGGATGCTTGCTCTCAAAGTGCTGTTTGAAGGTCTTGGGGTCCGGCATTTGTGTCTGATTAAAGGGGCAAGACAAAAAAAAAAGGCATTTAAGTTTATGCATTGAAGAAAAGATGAATAAAAGTACACCAAACAGCTCTTCCTAATTTCAAACCTAAATTTTCTTCTCTAAGAAGGAACTAGGACTGGACCTGTATTTTTGATGAAATAGATCTCTCACATTCATGATTATTGTATTAATTATTTCAGCAGACTAGCCAAGCTGTATGCTAAAGCTTACCACTAGCAGCTTAGAGCATCTGACCCTATTCTGCACCAGAACTCAGATGTTTAAATATGATTTTTAGGGAATCACTCACCAACACTTGTCTTAGGTCACTGCCGAGAGAACAGTAGTACAATGTGCTCATTTTGACTGAGTGCCTCTGCGGAGGCTTATTTGACAGCACATCACAGAACTATTCTAGTTGTAGATCCCAATATGGGGGGGCCCTGTACCCTTATCTCCCTCTTCAACTCAAAGGGACAATAAATATTTTTCCTTTACATAGCTGTCAAGTCAGTTAACTTCAATTTGCTTTGTTGGTACTAAAAATAAAATAATAATAAAGTGTTTAGTGTCTTAAGGAGTTATTTGTAGTGTCTGCTGACTCATTACATGGCACAGGATATCAGTCCATTGTTTTCAGACATTTGCAGGTGGCAAGTTCAAATTACAGTGCAAGGAAAAATGGGTTTATTTTGCAAAAATTAAGACATAGGTGTGTGCACTGAAGCCAGAAGCCCTCAACTTGGAAGCTTCTAGCTAAGGTTTATTAAAAGTGACAGTTTTTTTCTAGGACAGGCACTTTAAAATGAAGGCATTCTGTAAGAGGAAAGGAAGGTTTGCCCTTCATCTCCAAAACTATTACGTTCAGGAGAACCAGTAAGGTGGAAAGTTGTACTCTGATTAGCTGCTTAAATCCTGTCAAGCCAATTATTTTGTTAAAAGTTACTATATACAAAGTCCTGGTTAAAGTGCCTAGTACAATTCTACAACTGGCAATAGCAGGACAGACCAACCCCACAAACAGAAAAGCAACTTTTCATTTATAAATCAAGACAAATTGATCTCAGACTGACTGAAGCTTTCTACTGCACACCAAATGCAAACATGGAAGCCTGGAAACTACAATGTGCAGACCTTTGTTATTTCTATTCTCCATAACTGAGTGATACTTATTACTTGACTGTGCTGTAGGATTTTTATATGGGGTACATAGCATAGTAAATACAAATATGACTAGCAACTAGCCACTTAACTCACTGTTACCACAGAAATATTTACTTTATTGTCGTTTCCACCACTTCATCCTATAAAAGTCCTATGCTAGGCTGGAAGAGTTGCCCACAGGAATGCTTTTTCTTCAGGTCTCCTTACCCTACAGACAGTGCAGGTATAGATCAAGGCAGCCTTGGCTGCAGCCTTCTGATCATGTCCTTGCTTCTTTTTTTGTTCAGCTTGTTTTTTGGCATTTTTCTGTTGTGACTGAATCTTCTGTTGTCCACGAGCCATATCTACAAACAAAGAAGGATATTTAGTCTACAAACATCAAGAGCTGTGGGGCTAGTTGGCTAAGCAGCCATTGTTACGAACATACAAGTCATACGTGGTCTCCACATGCCCTACAAGTGCCATGATTCAGATAAGATTGTATACTGAGGAATCTGTCAGTAGTTTCAGGTGAGTCACCCCCTTCTGCACTCCACTTAGCTTGAAAAAGGATACCGTGTTATTTGAAAGCTTGCTAGAAACATCAACCCACCTCCAAGTTGGTCTAATAAAAGATATCAACTTGAACCAAACAACTGTCTACCCTATAGCCCCAGATCAATACAGATACCTCCCCATCCCCCCCCGCAAAATAATTCAGATAAGGCAGGTAGATTTAAAGAACTGAAGAAAAGCATTCCTCTCCCATCCCCATTTTCCCCCAGGTACAAATATATGAATTTCCCTACACCCACGAAGTATTTTAGCAGATTCCAGTCTGAAACTTCATAAGGGGTGCTCTTTAACAGACCATCTTTTCAGTATGTTTTCATTGTATCAACAATACACGCATGTTGCTTTGTTTTTTTTTTTAAAAAAAATGTTCTCGTTTCTACAGAAAAAATCAAGTTTAGAACACATCTGGTTAAGGAAGTCCAAATACTTTTCATATAAAACCTGAATTAGGCCTTTAGAGAATGTGACTTCCAAATTGTAGCATTGATTCCACAGAATGCTGGCTTGGGATTTGTGGAAAGCTGGCTAGTAATTTGGAACACATTCTTATGCCAGGCTGCTTCTGAGGGCATGAGGCTGATCTTTATGAAGAGCGAGGGTCTGTAAAATGAGATTAAACCCAAGAGCCAGCCAGCCAGCCTCACTGCCTCCATGGTTTGCTGCTGGATACAGAACGTCAGTGCTGCCCTCAGGACCCATCAGCAGGTTTACAGCACAAGGACCTGAGATACTGGACAGCATCTTCAAGGGACCAGGAGAGGACCAGAGAGCTAGGCAGTACATAAAGAAAAGAATAATGAAATAAGGAAGAATTAGCAAGAGAAGGGAAGGAGATAGCAGTGTGATCACCAAGCGTGAAAGGAGAAGCAATTACAGGTACTCCTCACTTAATGTGGCCCCGGTTAACATTGTTTCATTATTGCATCGCTGATCTATTAGAGAACGCACTCGTTTAAAGTCACACAATGTTGAGTTATAACATTGTTTGGCTGCCACCTGCTAGTAGGTCGCTATTGTGACGTAACTGGATTCACTTAACATCATTTCACTTAGTCGCATTTTTCAAGAACATAACAACACAGAATCCATGATATAATACAATGGATATTTTCTTTAAACTTTTCCAAACATCTACTCTTGCTGTTTATTCCTTAAGAGAGTTTTTGATATCTTGCATTACCTACACTACAAAAAAAGCACTTAAGAAATCTAGTCCTATGAGGCTCTGAACAAGCAAATTGTTTCTGCCCAAAAGGTGCTTGCATTTTACTGGGAGAGATCTTGAGATGAGTTGGGGGTGGGGGTGGGGGTGGTAACCTTTCTGGCAGGCATGACACAAGTTAGACTCCCACCATCCCCCTCCCCTACCTGACCTGCAATTCTGCTTACTGCTGCCTGTTCAACTGACTGCTGTTTTCTACTCCCTGCCCTGTGTGCTGCTGTTGTACTGCCCTTCCCCACTGACCTGCCATGTGCTATGCATACGGCCCACACCACTTGTGGCCCTATACCACAGGCTGCCCAGCTTGCCTTAGACCCCTGAGACTAGGCCCCTGTCATGCCTGCCCCATCCCACAGACCTGACTACACCTGTTTTAAGATGAGACTCAGACTCAATAAATAGCTTTAGCCCCCTGATAAACCCTGACAGGGCTTACTGTCAAAATAACGCTAGCTCCCAGCCACAACAAAGAACTGCAAAGATGGGAGAAAGCAGAGGAAGATCAAAATCCCACAGCAGTCCTCTCACGAGCAAACACAGGCCAGCACAGCAGGTTTGTGGTGCCTGAGCTCTCCCTTCCAGCGCCAGCGCTCCGCCGTGGGGTGACCCAGGAGACCAGGCAGGACCCACAGACCTAGGGTCCCAACCAGCTCCAGGTGCCTGCTTGGGAAGGAGCTCTGCAGACAGCGGCACCAGGCAAACACACGTCAGCCACAAGCGTTCGAAAGGTCAGAAGCCGCCCGGGGGTTTCAGTGTCAGCGGTTTCGGCAGCTGCTCCCTCGAAACCCGCGCGCCCCGCGGAGGTGGCACTGCCGGCGCAGCCGTGAGGCCAGGGCAGCGCTGACAGGCGGCGGGAGCCGGGTCTGACCGCGGCCCCGCTCCGCTTCCACGCGCGGAGGGGAGAGGGGGGCAGGCCGCGCCCCGCAACCCCGAGCGCTACCGCGGTCCCCCAAGCCCGGGGATGCCTCCCG